GAAAGAAAGAAAGAAAGAAAGAAAGAAAGAAAGAAAGAAAGAAAGAAAGAAAGAAAGAAAGAGGAAGGTTGGGAAGGAGAAAGAGAAAACACCAAGGAGATAAAGAGAAAAAGAAGAAGGGAGAAGGAGGAAGGGGGGAAGAAAGAAGAAAAAAGTGAGAGGGAGATACAGAAAAGAAGAGGAAGATTGGGAGGGAGGGAGGAATGAAGAAAGAAAAAAGAGAGGCAGAGAAAGAAAAAGAATATGATTAGGAGGAAGGGTGGGAGGGAGGGAGGAAGAGAAAAAAGAGAAAGAAAGAAAGAAAGAAAGAAAAAGAAAGAAGAGGAGGAAGAGTGGGAGGGAGGGAAGGAGGATGAGAAAAAAGGGAGAAAGAAAGAAGAACGAGAAAAGATTATGTGGGAGGGAGGAAGGAAGAGAAACAAGTGAGAGAGAAAGAAAAAGAAAGAAAGAAAGAAGAGGAGGAAGGTTTTGAGGGAGAGAAAGAAGCAAGAGAAAATGAAGAATATTAGTGGGAGGGAGGGTGGAAGGACGAGAAGAAGGAGAGAGAAAGAAAGAAAGGAACTGTTGAAAGAAGAGCCTTGCAGATTAAAAAGGGTTGTCTTTGCAGGGGCTTTGGCAAGGGTGGGTGAGCAGGGCGGAGGAAGGAACACGGGGCTATTTTAAGAAGAAAGAGCTTAAGAGAGGAAATTGGCTTTGGGGGACCTTGGCAATATTTTTGGACCCATCATCCGTTTCTTGCCCTTTGTTTGGGGTCCTCCTGAAACGTTGGAGTCCTGGGGGCAAGCTACTAAACAGGAATTACTTTGCTGAAAGCTTATCTGATTTCTAGTGGGGTTTTTTTTTTTGACACTGCAGGCCACAATTTCTCAACCTCAGCCGCTTGAAGGTGCCTGGACTTCAACTCCCAGAATTCCCCCAGCCAGCTTTGCTTTGAATTCTGGGAGTTGAAGTCCAGGCACCTTAAGAAGTTACTGATATTGAGAAATACAGTATTGTTGTACACTAACGCAGGTCTCCTACTACCACTAACACAGGTAACCAGTACGCTAACACAGGTTACTTGCTATTTCATAGGAACTGGGGCGAGGCAATACTTGCCAGTTTGAAAACACCTGTGGGTCCAGGGGTCCAGATTGATAGCCCTGTTACACAGGACTGTAATATTATTTATTAAGTTTATATGCCACCCGAAATTTTGAGTGGTTTAATGGAAAGCATGAATTCTTGGTGCTCAGGGAGAGGGGTGGCATGTTTTGAGATCCTTGATAGTGGAATATTTATTGATTGATTGGATTTTTATCTAATAACCATTCTCACCAAAATTGATAAGGCAAGCAAAAGAATATAGAATGAGAGTGAACGCCACTCCCTACTAGCCCTGATGATGTTACCTAGATTGGTAATGAAACGTCTGCAACAAAAGCAACCAAGCTCAGAGAGCCAATGTTCTGATCTAGGCTTCCTTAGAAAGCATAAAACACAATCTTAGTCCCAGCACAACCTCTTTTATTTCCACGGCTGTGAATTACGTTCATTCACAGCCTGCAAGGCTTCACAAAAAGTCTTTCAGGGGAACGTTTATAGACACCCACCTTATCGCACTTGGAACGTGGCCAGAGAACTAATTGCCAGGCGCAGGGCAAGGCCAAACTTGACAAAAGTTCTGTTGACAAACAGAACTTTTCAAAGCTTGAATCGACCGGACGAACTAATTGCTTCCTGCAAAAGCTCACGTCCCATTTGCTCCTCTTTTATCTCCTATGGGAGGGGCCAGTCACCTCTGAGGTGTGGCCTTACTCCTGAGTTGACCCCGCTTTCTCAATTGTCTCCCCCGCCTCACTGCTGTCCGAGCCCAAAGGTAGCTGATGACTGCCAGCCTGCCCTGGCCCCATCCCTGCCTCTGATGCAGAGCCGTCGTCCGAGCCCTCCTCAGCCTCCAGGCCCGGCCCAGGTTCCTACCCAACCTCCTCACTACTGTCCGACTTCCGTCAGCCACCGGCAGGGCCGCAACAACCAACAAGGACAGAACAGAACAGTTAAAAAGATGCAGATTGGGTCAGCTGTGCTGATGGAAACCAGAAACAGATCTGTTTTTATACTGAATGGCGAAACACAGGCGGTCCTAGACGTATTATGACCGTAACGGAAGGCCAACATTTCCGTTGCTAAGTGAGATACCTGGAAGTGAATTTTGCCTCATTTTGCCACCTTTCTTGCAGCCATTGTTAAGCGAACCGCTGCAGTTTTTACCTCAGTGACACTGTTGTTAGGTGAGTCTAGGTTCCCCCGTCGACTTTGCTTGTCTGATGGTCGCAAAAAGGGATCACATGAGTTTTTTCAAAGGAAATGAGGAGAAACTTTCTGACAGGGAGAACAATCAACCCATGGAACAGAAGTTTCCCTCGGAGGTTGTGGGAGCTTCATCACTTGAGACTTTCAAGAAGAGACTGGACTGCCCATCTGTCAGAAATGGTGTATGGTCTTCCGTTTGGGGGGGGGTTGGACTAGATGACCTACAAGGTCCCTTCCAACTCTGATTATCTGTTGTTTTTTAACTTAAGATGGCTGGACTTCAACTCCCAGAATTCAGCTGGCTGGAAGGCCGCTCCTCTTAAAAGTATATTTACTGGAGAATTCTGGGAGTTGAAGTCCAGCCATCTTAAAGTTAACAGGGTTGACGAACAGCGATCCAATGTTTTGATGTAAATTCTCGTGCAATGTATCCAGGCAGGGATATATATATGTGTGTGTGTATCTTCATTGTTCATCTCACCATCCAAGTGATATATTTATTTTATTTGGGCACACCAGTTGATCGAACTGGCTTCATCCCAGCTCGTTAGATCACACATCCAGAGTCGAAAAGGATCTCTTGATTAAAACAGATCCTATAAAACAGTGTTTTTCCAACCTTTGCAAGCACCTATAAGATGTGTGGACTTCAACTCCCAGAATTCTCCACTTCGCATGTCTGGCTGAGGACTTCTGGGAGTTGAAGTCCACGCATTTTAAAAGCTGCTATAAAACAATCCTGGGCAACTGGCATCTTAACAGTTATGTTGGGGGCCCCCATTGCTTAAAATGTCTAACCAGCATGATCTTTATGCTGGTAGAAGAGCTTTGACTGGGAATCTGGAAAAATAATCGGTCTTTAAACCGATTCATTCAAGTTACTAGTCCTCAATACTTTTTTTTTTTAATCCATGCTTTCCTCTCTGCGTAAATCTGATTTAGCCTTCTGGAGCCAGAGGGAAAGCGGGAAGAACAAAAAATATTATAAAAGCATGGGCGTTTTGCAGATTCTGTACCCACTGAAGGCAGTTGGAGGAACAGCTGTTGTGACGCTTCCGTATGTTGTTTTCTTATAATTGTGTGTATGTGGTTGTGTGTTCATCCTTAGAAGCCCATGAGGTGCCCTTAGCATTATTAATACCAGTAGTCACAATCATGATAATCCTATTTTATGATGCTTCTGCATTTCTGCATTTAAATCCAGCCCTATTGTCTTGCTGGTAAAATTGTTTTTTCCCCCACCCCAAGCTGTATTTTATTGCACAGGTAGTCCTTGACTTACCTCAATTGATTTAGTGACCATTTGAAGTTACGACGACACTGAAAAAAGTGACTTAGGACCGTTTTTCATACAATCATTGCAGTATTCTCCATGGTCATGCTGTCAGGATTCCAGCAATAGCCCTAATTAAATCATGATTCTTGAGCCAAACTTCAAAAAACTTCAAAGGATTTATTAGAGGCGACATACTGGCCCTGCCCTCTATGAAGCCAACTCTGGCAGGCATAATTTACAGTTCCCTGTGACCCTGTTTCCCCCTTCCCCCCTGGGTGTGTCATAAATCACATTCTCCAATTGAGCACACTCACAGCCTGGGTATCATCAATCACATTCTCCAATTAAATATATCCCAGGGCAAAAGCTCTGGTAGTTTTGCTACAATTTTTACAGATAAGAGTTGGAACATACTTCCGCTTTCAATTGCTCTTCCAGATTTTCTTCCTCCCCCTTTTTATTTTTATGGCAACTACTAAAACAGGCATAGGAATGTTTTATGAGTTGACACACAAAATCAAAATTCAGACACTTGGCCACTGACTCCTATTTATGACAGTCGCAC